AACAAATGGATTGTGTACTGTCCATTTATTGTCCAAATTTATCACCAACAAGTCAGACCTGTACTGTAGAAAAATCTGAGCCCACATATACATAAAACCCTGACAGGCTTGTTATATTGCAAGATCGACAAGTGTTCTGGCAATACTTCGATGTTAACTAGGAACTTGATCTTTGCACCCTCACAAGTACATACCAAGCTCCACCAAACACGTGGAGAGCTGAACTGACTACCAAACCCTTCAGTGCAAGTTGTCTGCCATGCTCCACAAAGTTGGTGGTCAATTTGAGAGCAGGCAAGGCTATCTTTTATCAACAACAGCTTAAAAGGTCCATGATAACTAAAATCGAGCAGTAAATGCTGCTGTAAGAGCTCAGAAAAACTAACAGAAGAAACAAATAACCTTGCTTCACTTATTTCTCAGCAAAGTATGGCCATTTCATTTGCCAGTGCCCCAACATACCATAGGATCCTCCTGTCTCAGACAATGTCTAGGAAGAAACATCATCTGCAAAGGCTCCACCGCATATACCTTGGGTGGACCTGGATAGCTCTGCCTGTTCAATTAAAAACAGTGTGAGTAGCTGGTTTACCCTTGGATGGTCTAATAAGCTGAGTTCAACTATACATTCAAGTTATAGCTACAGCATATGTTGCTGTGGGCTTCAACCTCTGTAACGACTGGCTTGAAGTTACTCCTCACAATTTGACCACAACTATGTTCTCTTCTTCTCGTAACACTTCATTCAAATGATCAATAAAATCCAGGACTGAGTAAGTTTTTTTAAAATAGGATCAAGTATTGGGCTGCCTACTCTTGAATCCAGCTATTCTTAGCAGTTAACTGCCTGAAATGCTTAAGAAAATGGTCCAGATTTTCTGTTGAATGCACCTTTGAGCATCAAGGGATAAAACCAGCTTGGCTTCATTTACTGGGACATATGGAGCTGGTTGAAGCCTCTGCCTTGCAAGTTCTCAGATGATGCTTGGCTGAAATGCCACAAATGTTGTAGGTATGTTGTTCAGGGGCTTAAGCACTTGGATGAATGATTGATCCTCGGTCCAGGGTGGCAGAGCAATGTTTTTCTCTTGACAGCTCTTCCTGTAGCTCTGTGTGACCTTTGGTTCATTCATAATCCAAGGATATCCTTACAGGATATTTTCCAGCTTAGAGAGACTCATGAATGCCCCATGGTGTTCACAGTCATTTCCCATTAGCAATATGATGTCTCAACTGCTGGGGAAACAGCCCTGACTGGCAGAGATCATCCACTAATGGCATGTCCAGTCCTTTTTGGGTGCTCTTGTCCAAAACTGAGGATGTGTTGCTGTGGCTGGCAACATCCTGGAAACTAGAAGAAACTAGGTACCATTCCACCATAGCAACCCTCAGTTGTTCATACTTCCCTTTCACCAGCCATTGGCTGATCTTCCTAAAGTCTATGTCTTGGACATGGCATGTCTCTCATGCAACCATCTTTTTCCAGTAGCATACTCTCTCTCTTGGTCATAAGTACTTCTACCTACAGAAAATTCTGTTCTTTCATTAAAAATTTGTCATTTAAACTCATTGAACATAAGTACTTGTAATTGCAATATGTACGTCAGCAAAAACTGGAAACTTTGAAATAACCCAGGTGTGAATCTTGCTCATGGCACCAAAAGTTCTGTTATTTACCTCCCCTGTCGTTTTTCCAGGTTTAAATTGATTTTCTCAAAGAGTTTTAGGTAGGGCCACTTTATTATGGCAAGATTAATTCCAAAGTAAGTTTGAAGCTAGAAAAATATGTGCATTCAAGAAACCAATTTAACACAAAAATATGATACCTATAATGCAAATGCTTTTGAAAGGCTGACATTTCTTCTTCAGGGTCATACTGAAGAGATAGGCATCAATGAATTTCGTGGTAAGCTAGAACAATTGATGGACATCACACCAAAGAAAAAGGATGTTCTGTTTATTATTGGTGATTAAAATTAAAAAAAAATATAAGAGATGAAAGAACCAAGAATTGCAGGAAAATGTGGACTAGGGGTACATAATGAAAAGGGAAAAGAGATTAATAGAATTTTTTGAGATAAACACTAATGTGTAGCCAATACCATATTTAAACAGCATAAGTGTAGACTGTACACATGAACTTCACCAGATGGGCAGTATCTTAATCAAATAAGTTATATTACCTGTAGGAGAAGGTGGGAAAGTGCAGACCAATTGGCAAAGACATTACCAGGTGCTGAATGTTGAACAAATCATGAACTTCTAGTATCAGAAATTTAGATTAAACTGAAAGAAAAGTGAATAAGACAATGAAACCAACAAGATAAAATTTAGAAGACATCCCACCAAAGCTTACAATAGAGGCTAAAAACAGATTTGATGTGATTGACCTAATGGACAGACAGCAGGTGAGAGATGCTGTGAAGGAAGAAACAATGAAACATATTCCTAAATCAACAAAAAACAGAAGAACAAAATGGCCTTCATAACAAGCTATCAAGATCGCAGAGGAAAGGCAGAAAGCAAAAGCTACTGGTGATTTGCAGAAAGTTAAACGACTGAATGTGGAATTCCAATGTCAAGCAAGAATGGACAAGGAGAGGTATCTTAACCAGGATGTCAAGAGATAGCAGAGAATAACAGAAAATGGAAAACAAGAGACCTTTTTAAGAAGATCAAAGATATAACAGGGAAGTTTACAGCAAGAGTGGGGGTTTGAAAAACAAACATGGTAAAAATTTAACAGAGGAAGATGGAAATAGTATGTTGTTGAGCTTGCCAAATGAGACTGTAACATGACAGAAACGTTTAAGGGAGAAGAGTTCAGCAATGATCCTTTGGTACTAGAACGTGAAGTGCAGTGGGCATTGAATAAGCCAGCAAATGGACAGGCACCAGGAGTTGATGAGGTATCAGTAAAGCTGTTCAAAGTGGCAGGAGATGAGGTGTAAAGGTCCTAACAGCTGTTTGTCAAGTATGGAGTCAGATCTCTTGGCCTAAGGGATGGAAACAATTGGTGTATATCCATCTGCCAAAGAAGGGAGACTTTATATATATATAGAAACACAAAGGCATCTAAAACAAAGTCAAATGAATGGTTTTCTGGACCACATGTTATGTAAAAATTGCACAGATTCAGAAATAAATGAAAACTCATGGTGTTTTTGTATTCCATCTAAGTGTGAAATCACAGGTTTTTCATTTTTTATCACTGTGTGCATAAACATTCATGGTTCAAGTATCAGAATCTTTTGAACAAAGAAAAACTAAAACTCTTTAATTTCTAATGATGAGCAATGCTGTTTCTTTAATTATTGTAAATAGTAAAAGCAAACAAGACTTGTTTAAAATTTTATAAACACCTTAAATTCAGTTTCTATAACTTTGTTTGTACAGGAACAATATTTTTAATTGTTAGAGCTACTGTTTGTTCTGTGATTTTTTTCTTCTCAAGGATTTTCTAAAAATAGATGTTGAAAGTAGCATAAATAGATAAGCAGAAAGTTTGATTTTATATTATATTTAATGTATGTGTGGTTGTAACATATGATGTAATGCATAGATTTCTGCTGGTGACCATGAACTGTATTGGAAAACATTGAATGAAAGAAGTCTTAAATATCCTTTAATCTTTTTAAAAGGATGGTGATTAAACACTTTGTTAGGCTATGTTTTATTGATATTTCTAGGCACAACCTTATGGGTTCAAAACAGTTAAGCTTCAGGCTATTCCAAAACATTAAACTAGACTGTGCCCCATAAATTCATGGAGTTGCCACTCTTTAGGGCTTCATTAACATTAGTATGATTGTTATGATTTATATATCATAGTTTAGTTTTTAAATCATGTATTTTTTAAACTTAATCTTGTGGTGGATTACATACATTTTTAGTTAAGTTTCAATGGAGAATACTAATCCTTGTTCATTGTTTTAGACTTTTGGGAGTGTTTAACATAATTATCATTAAAGTAACAAAATACACTTTACTTTGCAGTAAATGACATGCACTGTACAGTGATTACCCAATATGGAAGAGTCCACCTTTAGAGCACCAATAAACTTGAAATGGGGATAAGTATTACAAGTTAAATGCAAAACCAAAGTGTTATATGAATTTGAGTATTAGAAATCAAGCCCTCTGTGCTTAAAATTCAACTGTGAAAATTTATATTTGACAGTATTATCCTAAAATATTTACCTTATACTTGAGAATTTAAATAAGCAAATAATTATTCAAATATACAGTATTTTTTGCGTGCAGAATAAGTCAGTAAACACATTGATATTGTGTACGTACATGAATTACTAGTAGCAGTTGAATGACGTTATGTTGTTCTTGCATTTTGTTAGTTATTTGATAGCTTATTGTACTTCTGTTGCATATGATTTACTAAGGATTTTTTTTGTGGGGGGTTCGTGTTTATAATTGCATTTAGGTTAATGTCACAATAGTTGAAATTGGGTGATACTACACCTGTTTATAGGATAAAGAAAATAGTTATTCCTTCTTTTTTCAGTACTGTAGCATCTATGCATCATAATATGTTGTGCTGAAGAGATATGATTTATATCTGTATTATTGACCATATTGCAGTTGAGAAGAAACATGATTTGTAAGACTATCATTAAATATATTGTTACTATATTTCTCAAATTCTAGGGAGGTTTTTTTTAATGATGTTGATTGCTTCATTATCCAACACATTTTCATTAATTGATTATTTTCATTTTTGTAGACTGATATCTAAATATTTAGCAGTTTCTCTTTAAGCACATTTTTATGTGCTTTAGACATATTATTTAATAGTTTTATTTAGTGTATATAATATCTTATATTTTTTAATGTACATCTTTCCTCAACTTTCTTAATTTTTTTCTCCTTAAGCACATTTTTATATGCTTTAGACATATTATTTGATAGTTTTATTTAGTGTATATAATATATCTTATATTTTTAAATGTACATCTTTCCTCAACTTTCTTAATTTTTTTTTCTAGAATACCAGATCATTGAAGAAACCTGAAATTGTGACGGTTCTTGCTGCATATAAAGGGACAGGGCCTGAACAGTTAACACTGGACCGAGGTCAACTTATCCAAGTTCGTAAGAAAAGTTCAAGTGGTTGGTGGGAGGGAGAATTGCAAGTAAGTCTTTTTTGAATAGTATTTTAGACACTTATTAGTGTGGAAGGTTTGCTGTTGTTTAATGTGCATAAACAAACAATAATTTTTGTTGTAGTAACTGTTGTGATTTTTGTAAAGATGTACTAATTACTTAGAATGTGTCATTAAGGATCTGTAGTTTATTGTTGGTTTCATTTGTTTTACTGCATATACATTGATTTATTTATATCAGTCCTGATGTATTAAGAATGCTACCTTGTTCAGCAGTATTTACTACAGATCCACTGGTATGTGTGTATTTCTGTCCAGACATGTTAAAATAATGACAGTAATCCCTTAGTGTCCATGGTAGGGTGCTGCTAACTGGCTGCCTTCCGTCTTGTCAGTAGCTCATAATTAGAAGTAGTGGCAGATGGTGTTAGTAGTTTTGTTATATATATACAATATACAACATTTGTTGTGTTAGGTGATAATTTATTGCACTGTTTCTTTCAGTGGCGTGGCCTTGTGCACAACACCATTAGGCCTAATATAGTATATTTACTTATAACCTTGCATGAAAATGTTTTTCAGGTCAGTGGTTGTGAAAGTCTTGTGTAACAGTGGAGTATATACCTGTATTATATAGTGGTTTTTATTATATTATATATCATAAGTTTACCAGAAAAATTAAATGTATATTTCAGAAAGTTTCATGGTGATCGCGCTGTATTTTTGACATGTGTTTGTGATTCACATATGGTTATTTTTATGAGTTATTAACTTTTATTAATACAAATCCAGAGTTGACCAGTATGATACAACCTGCATAGAAAGAGTTAAGAGTACATAAGTTATAAGATGAGCTTTGAAACATGCTATCCTACATATTATTGTAGCCTTTTTTCCTAACATCAGTTTTTTAGAAACCTCTTGAAAACCTAGTGACAGATGTTTGTATTCAATTTTTTTTCAGTATTCATTGTCTGTCTCGTAACTCTCCATATTATTACCTGCTTGGTTATGTACAAATAGAGTAGGTTTCTACACCTGACCTGTCAAAGTTGATTTCTTAGGTGGACACTCAGCATATTTTAGACACTAATTAAACATTTCAGTAAAAATATTAATTATAACTTTTTCAATGACTTTTTACATCACAATTATTTAAGGGCCAATATTTTGTAATTTTTAACATTTATTTATTGTAATTTCCAAAGAAAATTGAGCAGCTCCAAGGATTATTCCTATAAACAATGTTTTTTAGAATTTTTCAGCCCATCCCAAAGCATACACTTACTCAGTGAGCAGCTATTATACCTTGAAAATATAATTATCCATATCATGTTTTTCACATGATTTTTCTTCTCTTTTTGTGGTTTTATTACAACAGTCTTTTGTTCCCATCTCTTTTATGGTGTCACAGCATGTGGTCTATACAGTTACTAACTATGTATAGGTAAAATTTAAATACCATTGGATAGGGTGAGTTATAAACTATTTACATCAGTGTATAGTAAGTAAAGTGGTATGAGCAGTAATTTTATAGTAATTTAAAGAGACTATCCAGATCTCCTATTAGAATGAACAAATTAAACTAATGGGAAGTTAGAAGGCTTGTGATAAACCTGAAAATGTTTTTCAATTAACCCTTTAAATGTAGGCAGATGAAATTGCCATCTGCTCGATTAGTAAAGGACATTATGCATCAAAAATATGGTAACATTGTGCATTCCTCACAAAACATTGTAGGAGTTCGTTAAAGTTTATTAGTATTTTGTACACAAAGAATGACATTATTCTAGTTATGTCTTTCTAATAAAATTCTTATTTATCTATAGTAGTTATTTGCATTCAGACTTATAATAGTTTGAGTGCAAGATGATTTTCATTTTAAGTATAAAAATACTTTTCTTCATCTTATTTTGTATTTCATTTGCATAACCTCTAGAACCTTCTAAATGAATATCAAAAGGTTATTAAAGGTAAATATTTATATTTTATTTTTCATTTTCTTTACCATATGACTAACTCTAGCTATTATCATCAATGTACAGTGCAATGAAATGATTAAAATTAGGGGAAAAATACATATCTTTTGATTTTTTGTAGAATATCTTTAACGATGTTGTTTTGCTTATATTTGTAATGCCGGGTCTTTTTATTTTCACATATAGTTAACGTTTAATGTTTTATTTCTCGTTCTTGTCCTTTACCACTTACCTCGAGGCATATTACAGTTTCTTTCGGAGACATGCACAGCCCTTAGGCAAAAATTTGGTTCAGCACATAATATCGTTAGCCTTGAGAATGGATGCACAGTGTGATGTATATTTAAAACATTTTCAAACCTTTTAATTATGCATTTTAAAACATTTATAATAGTAAGACCTAAATACAATTTAAACTGTATCTCTAACTATAACATATTTAGGAAAGAAAACTGTTAAGTGCTATAGTCAATCAACCGTCCAACAATACTATGGTCAGTTAGATGTATTCCATGACAAAAACTTGGTGCCAATTTCAAAATAACCATTGTTAGGTGACACTGTAAAATGAGCTCTTTTTAATGATTATACATGTGTTTGTAACATCTGCATGGAGGCTATAATGCTCAAACAAAATGTTATGTAAACAGCTTATTGTCTAGATGTACCTCTACTCAAGTGCCATTGTATTATTGAAGATACAGAGAGCCAAAATAGAGAATTTTCATAGCATGTTGTTCACGTGACAATACATCAGAAGTTTGAGTAGTTTTGGTTTAAGGTTTCTTTTGAAGTATAGGCTTAAAACTTAGATAAAACTTCAAATCATAACATACTTTAAAATGTTGATTTCATTTATGTACATTGACATTAAAGGTGTTTCATTAAATTTTGAATGTAACACAATGATTCCCACAAAAAAGGGGTTTAAAGGGGTACCCATCACAAAATTGTTAAATTATATCTGTTTGAAAGGTACAGTGAATATGGTAGGCATAGGTAAAATGTACGATGACAAAAAATCTTTATTTATTGAATACTACTGTTAAGTTTATCATATTCAAACAACACACATAAATAAAATAACTTATTATTTTGTGAAAAGGAACTATAATATAATTTTTAGATAAAATCTGAACTCAACCAAATGTAATTTTAACACCATTGTGAAAGGTAGGGTCATAGTTTACTAATCAGTCTTTGTTTTTGCAATATCCCTTATGATTTAGAGCTGTAAGTGGACATTACTGGAACCAGCAAACTAAAGTATCAAAAGTTTGAAACTTTAAAATTCTTGCAAATACTATATTTTTTGTTTTGATTCACTGTTTTAAATACTGTCTCTTGATCTATTATAAACCTAAAAGAAAGATAATTGTCACAGGACAGTTGTAGCTACTTTCTCATCTCTAAATATTGATTTACTGCTTGAATTGAATGTGTTGCAGTAATAATATGTATGAAAATGTGATTTTTAAGTATAGAATTATTTTTTCTAAAACATCAACTCTCTTGCTACAGTCTTGGTTAAGTTAGCTAAGTTCGTGACCCCAAATTGACCTTTATATTTTCCATAGTATAACTTCTAATATGTTTTGTAGCTAATTAGGATAAACAAATGTAGTTTCCTTTTCCAATTTTAAGTCATTTTAGAAAGGAAAAAAAGATAACTTAGATGATTATTTTGTGTGTGTATGTTATGAGGTTGGTCAATTTGATTAACCTCATATAGAGTTAGGGTAGAAAAAGTAACAGATAAAATATAAAGTTTTACTGGGAAAAGAACATTTGAAATTTATTTAGAAGGTTTTAGAAATTACATAAATGTGATTTGAGATATGTCGGATGAAGAAAAGTATTTTAAATATTTTCAATTAAAATGCATTGGGCTTGGAGCAGTCAACACTTTGACTCCTTATATTCATGGAGAAATTTTTACTTCATTAAAAATTCTGATTTTTTATTTTCAAAAGACTTAATGATTACTGAAAGCTTGTGAAATTTCCTGAAGGTACACAAAACATATTAGAAGTTATAGTCTGAAAACTCTGAAGGTCAATTTGCTGTACAAAGCCGGCTGAGACCGTAGCAACAGAGTTAAAGTATTAGGGTGTAACAGGAGGAATGCTTCAGATGATGGTATGTTAAGTTATATGAACGTAAGAGGAAAAAGGTTTTAGATAAAAGATGTGTTGAAATAATAGCTTTGTGTATAATTAGAGGTAATTATCATTTCAGTTTCATATTAACTTGAAATTTTTAATATTATTTACTGAATGAATTACTTTCAGTGTTCACTATTCTGTAACAGATAAGGTACATAGGAGTCATCATAAAAGTTTGAAGTGTTTTTCATTGTTGTTGTTGTCAAAATTGTGAAAAAAAAAATTCGTACATTTGTGTCTAGGTGAAGGGAAAAAAGAGACAAATAGGGTGGTTTCCAGCTTCATATGTGAAACCGCTAGGGGGTAGTGGTGCTAGTAGTAACCGTAGTACCCCAGACATTATTCAACAGTTCATTCGGCAGCAAGAGGTCATACAAGACACAAATATATATCAGCAAAGTCCAGGTAAGACAAAGCATTTCGGCATTGTTCAGTGAATTTGTTAAAGCCCTTGTTAGTAAGGATACCTGCATTTATGCATTTTTATGTAGTTTAGCATATATAAAAAGACATTTAAAAGAGAGAGAAAAGTACTCGCATAAAAGAAAACAGTGATAGAAATATTGACAATTGCCACACAATAAAGAACAAAAAGATTCTTCTGAAGCTCTTTAGCTAATCAGCTTTAAGTGAGTAAAAAAAGGACAAAATATAAAGATTTTTTAATGCATACAAGTAGAATGTTGTTTTGTATAAATCTAACTTTTTACAACCCATGGCATTGATTTTGACCACTTCTGAATTTTTATTCATAAAAATTAATAACTCTGCAGTTAAATTATGTATAAAACATGCTGACTTCAAACGTGAAGCACAATAATCATTAAACATTTTTAAACCTCAGGTAATTTTTTGTAAATATACAATTTTTAATTAAATAAAATCCAGTACATGCTATAATTATATACTATTTAATTTAATACACAGCATGTCCTTAACCATTGGCCCAAAAGATAGGTTTCACACATGCTTATTAACAGTTATACAACCAAAGACCTAATCTTGTTATTCACTAGCCCATTGAAAGAAAATTTTTAATATCTTGTATATTGTTAAAATTAATATCAATTGATAAGTTACCTCTGTAATCCTTTCAGAGATTATCATCAGCTGTTTTAAAAAGATCACGTGTAAGTTGCCCTTAGTTTCAAATTGGGAGATTTTGTAATGACAACAGAAACTGCCAAAGTAATCACTTCAACAAAGTGAAAGATGGGTAACCAAAGAAATTTAATTTTTACCTTTATGTATCGTAAAAAGAAATACAAAACTATTATATAACTTGATTATTTGAAGACATGATCAAAATGCACTTCTGATGTAATAACTAAAAATTTAAAAACATACAATCTCTTTATGGAAGAAAGGAAGCTCTACAGCATTTAGCTTGAAAGGAAAATAATAATCCCAGCTTTGATATGATGTATTTTTTATTTTTTGACACCACCGACTTCAAAAATTCATTATTTTTAGAGTATTGTGTTAGAAATAATTTTACAAACACACGTACATGCCACAGATCTTCAGATTGGTTTTGCATGTGACAAGTTTTTTATTTACTCAGGCAGAAAATTTTAAATATAGTAAGATAGAGAACTTACAGCCCAAATAATAATACCTATTAATAATAATAAAAACAACTGGCAGAGAAAAATGTAAATTAGGGATAGCCGTTTGAAATTGTTATTACTTTAGAACATGTTAATAAAATATACATCAGAATTCTAAATTGAACATTTCAGTTATAGTTCTATTTTGAAGGCAACTAGAGAAGAAGAATCAAACAGAATTTTTAAAAACTTGATGTATTTTGCTTCATAAAGAAATGTAAGAGTACAGGATTTTCACAACATCTGTTCTGAAATTCTATAGCATATGTCTAGAACTAACATATTTATAATGATCTTCAAGATAGTGTAAGAACATTACGAGTTAGACAGTGAGAGGAGTTAAAGTAATTTTTTTAAGTTATGCCTGGTGGATCTTGCACAGTAACAAAAAGAATCACCAGTTGGGCATCTGGCTGGGACTTAGGGTAATGCTGAAGAAACTGCATTTAATCAAAAGCTAGAATAACTGGTGAAAAGCTGTTTGACAGTGTTACTGATATTATAAAGAAAGAATTAATTAACATGGTAAAACAAGAACATGCACATATGCAGAAGAAGTTCTGCCAAACCCTCTATTTTTGTCATCTAAAAAAATATGCTTATACAGTTATAGTGCAGCTGCTTGTGGTATTTAATGTTTATGGATTTTATGTGATCAGCCATGCAATTGTTTAAGCTATATTTCATTCAAAATTGCATACAGATTTAATCTCATAGCATTTATTTATTTATTTTTATTTATTTTTTGGAGGGGAGGGGGGGGGGTCATGCTCTTAGATCCCCATAAGAATTAGCATGCTTTGCATATTGATTGTGCTTCACACAAAATGTGTTGGTTTTTTGATTTCACAAATTATACCCCCCCCCCCCCCCACGTTTGTAGACTTGCATTGAAAATTTTATTGAAGTACTATTTTATGAATATGCCAATAATTTACAATTTGATATCAAACTTATAATTCAAATTTTAGTATTATACATTAGCTAATTTCTTAATTTAAAAGTAAATATTAAAACAAAATTACTAAATATCGATTTTTGTGTGTCATGTTGAATGGAGGTTTGGTTCAAAATTAAATGTTTGTGATGTCCAAATACAAAGTTTATAGTTTCTTATGTAAGATAAGAACCTCATATCTTTTCTATTTACCACCTCTTCCATTGTTGGAAATACTTGCTTATGTATACCTTCTTCACTCTATCATGTGTTTATAACCAATCAAAAGCTCAGAATTTCCCCCACGTGGTTTTCTCAGCCTATTCAAGGAGTCTTTTTCCCAAGATTAATCTTTTTTCCCAATCTTGGAAGGAAGATGTAAGAGCAAATGGTGTTTGAATAACAATATTTTTTAGACTAAAATAAAGCGTAGTTAGTATGCCTGATAAATTACAGTGGGATTCTGTGATATTGGTAGAGTAATTTATAATTGTTTGTTACTTCAAAATGCATACATTAAACCTAGAATAGTTATTTTGTTTTACATCCTCTCTGTGTGAAATTCAGCAAGGCTTAGCATGCAAGGTATGGTGAGTGAATACAAACTTCTTTAAAATTGTAAATGGTAGAGATCATGTGTTTTAAGAAAAATAAGAATTTATTTGTAAATAGTAGTAATATATATACATATGTAATGTATTATAACCAGAATATGAGTGTATTTTACAAAATACTGGTCCACTAGAACAAAGGCAAGACGTATTGCTTTATAAATGCCAGTACAATGCTATTGGATACAGTTAGATGAGATACACATTCACCATGATTGCAACTTCTGTAATGTTAGTCAGACACGGCTGAAAGATCAATAAAATAAAAATAATCAATATAGATAGATGTGTAATGTTATGAGATTTAAGCTATTTAGAATAAACATTTGTGGTTTCATGTTACAATGTGTAGCCATTCTAGAACGAAAAAAGCACAGCTTAACTCTTATTTCCTAATTTTTCATGATGGTTATGAGGTCATTCAATTTAACCAAACCCATACAGAAATAAGGTAGAGAAAATAACAAATGAAATATAGAGTTTTTCTTAAAAAAAATTCATGTTTATTTGGATTTTATTAGAAGGTTATGGAGACTTTGTAAATGAAATTTCACAATTTTCAGCTGCATAAAGATATTTTTAATCTTAAAATCAAAATTATTTGGCATGTGGGTTGGTCAAAATTTGAAAAGAAAAAATGCATGAGCAAATCTTTAGTTAAAAATCTGATATTTTGTTTATGAAAACATTGTTATGTTTAATGAAAATCTGCCAAATTTCGTGAAGGTATGCATACTGTCCAAAAAGTTATAGTACAAAAACTATAACAAGCAAAAATTGTTGCAAGATCAGTCCCTAACACCAAGCTTGTAGTGAAAAGGTTAACTCTTTCAACACGGGGTAAGTCGATATGACCGACCACATGACCTCTTTGTACTCATTTAAAGTCTTTAGAGATTCGATACTTCTAACTTTCAATATTGTGTGTATATCTTCACAAAATTTGGCAGTGTTTCAATTAACATTATAAGTCTTTCACATACAAAAAAATCATATTTTTTAGTGAAGTATTTTTGATAAACTAAAATAAAGATTTTCCATGAACATATTGAGCTATGCCTTGTATTAACCCCTATTGTTCTCTGAATCCCCGACTTTTAGTGGGCGGTCAGTTTTTGTTGCTCGGAACAAGTTTTTTTAAAACTAAATCAATTATTGACTGTAACTTTCAGTACCACGTTAGTTGCCACAGAGATTAGGGCTTAGATGCCTAACTTTGACACTCGCCCGGAGCCGAGTATTACTTGCCCAATATCTGGCCGGGTACTCGTGCATTCCTAGTATATACATTATTAATATTTACAAATAAGTTTTTAAACTTATTTTTCTTAAAACAGAACAGTCAATAAAGAAGTATAGCAAACAATTATCTCTTTTAGTTATGAACTTTGTACTCATTTGCTGCTTGCCGTAGGTTGCTAAGCCTTATCAAATTTCGCACGTGGAGGGTATGTAACAAAAAACACATAATAAAATTTGAAAATTAAGTTTTTATAGGGCTGTGGCTTCTTTACAGTAGGTGTATGTAACTTGCCGATAAATGTCAACAATAAATGGACAGCACGCAATCCAATTTTTACAAACATTTTGCAATCGGCTATGCAAAAAGTCATGTGAGCTATCAGTCTGAAATTTTTACTACAACTTCACCTAAGAGTAAAGGTGGACCATTTTTAGTTTTTTATTCATTCAGATTAAAGACAGCTGATTTAGAGTAGCAAAACTATAGGGTGAAAGCATGTCCAGATACACAAGTGTTGGTTAGGCCAAGCAAACTAGATTAGCAGTATCTAGCTCAAGTTTTCAAAATGATCATATGGGTGGATGGTTATTTTTCATTGTGAACTTAAGTACTGATTTGATAAATTTTATGAAATTCTCATAATTAATTAAAGAGCATTTAGCTTCACATGATATTAGCTTAAACAATTAGCATAAATATTGATGCGTGATATGGCTGTATCGAGTGTATGTGGATGATGACAAGAAACTGTTCATCTAGTTTTCATGGCGTTATTATAAAGGAAGTTATTACCAATGTGTTAAAGAGGAAAAAGGAAAAATTACCACCATAAAATATAAGTCTGTTCAGAATAATGTGGTTCTGAAAGCTAATTTGGTTACTGTCCCATGATCTGTTTGTGTGTATTGACAAAAAGTCATGTCTAATCAAAAATGCCTTATGTGTGAGAAAAGTTGCACCCAAAAAAAGGACTGGGTGTACGAGTTTTCCTTTTTATTTTCTTC